TCATGGATGCATTGTCTCCTTGCTCGGACTTTGTGACCAGTGCTCACCAGGCCGGCCAGAAGCGATGGGGGTCCGTCTTTCTGTCTGGCCCTCAAGCACGGTGCAGGAGTTTGCTGTGGTGTGGATGTTGCTTCGGAAGGTTCGGGTTACTCATGAACCATTCGGATTACTTCCTGGTGGTTCATTGCCTGTACTCAGGGGGGGTGGGGGTTGATGCAGTCCTTGGGTCTTTGGGACTGGTCGCTTCGAGTGACTCATCTATTGAGTTCTCGGGGTTTGGCTCTCCTGGCCATTCACATTCGGGGGTGGCCAACGTCCTGGAGGACAGCCTATCTTGGTTCATTCCCCTTGTCCACTGAATGGATGGTCGACGCCAACTCATTCAGTTGGCTGTGCCGGACGTACGTGCTCCCGGAGATGGACCTCTTCACATTGGGGTGGTTGAGGCATCTCCCGTTGTATGTGGTGCCCTTCCCTGACTGCGAAGTCGTTGGGATCGATTCCTTGTGGCAAGACTGGTCGAGGTGGGGTTACCTGTGGTCAGGGATTTGCCAGCTAACCATAGTGATGGATGGTGATGCATGCAGCGTCTCTCCAACAAACATTAACAATCCCTTTGAGCGTTTTCAGGACCCATTGTTACTTGGTACACGTTCTGGTCACGTTGTTCTCCCAGTCTTGGAGGGGGATCCAGAGAGTGTTTTCCTGAACAGTAAACATCACAGTAAGGTGAATAGATTGGAGACAAAATGCTGTCAGTGTCCTGAGGTACCCTGTGACCCTCCGCGGCCTGTTTCCATTCTCTCCACTCACTCAAAGTAGAATGAGTTCTCCTGGCTTACAAATGTTCATCTTTGATGCCGATATGCCCGTTGATCGGAGTGTTTTTTGAAATAGCAGGGCACAAAGTCTCCTATATCATGCCATTCCCAATTTCTTTAAGATCAAAGTGCACGATATCAGACCAAATAAAGGCAGGAACATGATTGCAGTGGACCACAATCACTCCGAGGTCCTGGAGCTTTCGGACGTTGCTGACATCTGTGGTTACAAAGACCGTTGTTATAAACCTCTGGGTGACCGTTTGGCACGATGTGTGGTCCGGCATGTTATTGACATTAATGATGACGACATCAAAGTGCAACTTCAGGATGCTGATATTCCGATCTTCGGTGTCAGGAAATTTATGCGTCGGACTAATGGTGAACTGTGTGATACCGGCATTGCCCTACTTACTTTTTTCGACTCCTTTTCCCCTAATCAGGTTTTGATTAATGGCTTCCTCCATAAATTGATGGTGTACATTCCCCATCCCACTCACTGCTTTCGTTGTAAAGGTTTTCACCATACCTCACAAGGTTGCACCAATTACGTCAAATTCGGCAAATGCTCTGGTTCCCATTACACTCGTGACTGTGTTTCCTATATGCTCCGCTGCCCCAACTGTGGTGGTGATCATGCCATTACATTCAAGCAATGTCCTTCCTATGTAGCGACACAAATTAAGGCTCTCCCCGCCGTCACCCCTGCCTTCCTGCCGCACTTTGCTTCATTCTGTCCCAGTTGATCATCACCCACTGCTTCCCACTCCACCCCAACTCCATCCGCAATCCATCCAACCCGTTCCTGAGGCTGACCCGACGCACCCCCTCCTCCGCTTCTCCTTTGGTTGACATCCATCCTCCCATGGCTGCCTCTGCTATCTCTAATGCATTTGAAATATTGCTGGACAATGTCCTTCAGAACTCCTTGGTGAGCCTTCCCTATGTCCCTCCCTTCCTTGCCACAAATTCCTACCCCCCTGTACTAAGAGGAAGCAAGCCTCTGTCGTCCCGACTTCCAAGCACCTGTCATCTTGCCAGACAGGCCCCATAAACCATACTCTCCCACGATTTGTCCTCGCCCCACTCAAGGGTCTTCCTACCGTTGTCCTGCTGGTGCATCTACAAAGACCAATGTGTTTACATCCCAGACGTAAGGCTCTGGATTCCATCTACGTACCTTGCCCTGTCCTCACCTCACTTGTCATGACCTGACTTCCTCTGACCTTGTACACATCATAGATTTAAACTATAGATTTAAACTAACTAAACACAGATGCTGAAGAAATATAAGAAAATTCACTTTCGCAAACAGAGTGGTAGATGGTTGGAACAAGTTAGGTGAGAAGGTGGTGGAGGCCAAGACTGTCAGTAGTTTCAAAGTGTTATCTGACAAAGAGTGCTGGGAAGATGGAACACCACGAGTGTAGCTCTCATCCTGTATCTACACTTAGGTAATTACATTCACCCCATGTATCTTCCTCTGCTCGCACCTCCCTTACTTTCTCATGTCTGCTTAGCAACTGTCTCCTACATATCGTTTGCCTCGCGCCCTCCGTCTTTTGCCTACATTCCTCGCTTTTTTTAATACAGCGATGCTTTGTGCTTACCTTCCGTACTCCTCATTATTCCCATCCTGCATCCCTTTCCTCCTGTCTGTTTCTTTTTCCTTTATCCTTGCCCACATGGACAACGTTGATATCTTCCCGCCTCTGTCACATCGTAACCACTGATGTGCCGCTGTGAGCGCCGCATCCTTCTACATTACCATCCATGCATCGGGATGATACACCTTCATGCAAACTGCACTTATTGCTAAGAAGAAGGGGTTACTTGTATCTCTTTCTCCCGGTTTAGCTGTTGCTCCAGGTCCTAGCTCGCTTGGAGACCTACCAGGGGAGAGCAGTAAACGGCAGTGAACGACACACAAGGCAAACACCGCCTAGGAAACTGAGGGCAGAGAAGCGTCTGTCCTGGTTGACATTAGCTTACGAACTGATGCTAGGCAGCCGGCGCAGTAGGTCTGGGGCTCCCCCCTCCCCCTCTCGGGGCGGGGAGGGCTGCACGGACGATCGGCGTGGCAGTAAAGTGTGATGTTTGCTTGTTTGCTTGTTTCCTTGGGATTGTAGGAAGTTTCTACCTCTCTGTTTGTTTTTTTGTTTTAGTTTTTTACCATGTGGGGTTTATTTTGTTATGCCTACCTTTCTGGGTGCAAACCCCGGTCGATGGCAGATAAGAAAACCCCCAACCACAAAGGGGTTTTCCAGGGCCATTGCTCCCTGAAACCTCTCTGAAGGGGCCAGGTTCTGGCGCTGGTCCCTGGTAGGTCTGAACTCCTTAGCTAATGTCCCGGTCTAATATAACATACATTAGCCCAATAAGCTCCAGGGAGCCTCTGGGGCTCACCCAGAAAATGGCGTTTCATTGCATTCAACGCTGGTTTTTTATCTGTTTTTACTGCCATCTTTACAGTGAGCAGGTAACTTTTTTATGGTTTCCTAGCTGTGTTCCTCCTTTCAGCAATGATACGAGGTTTAGTGGCACTCCTCTCATCACTTTCTTTCCCTTTGTCATTGTTCTTCAGCTTCTCAGTGTGTGGTGGTGCTCTCCTTTCTTTCTTGGCTATTTTTTGTTTGCATCACATGCCACATATTGTCATCTCATATCATGTGCCTCTGGTAAAGCCACTACAGCTTGTGTTCAATGTCAATACTACCTCAGCACAGTTTTGCATGGTAGCTTGTAACTTGTTTCATCTCTGGCCTGCTTATGCTTCGCTTGAGGCTGCTTGGTCTCTGGGCTATGTTCTTGCTTTTCTTTCTTTTTCTTGTTTTACAGTGTCCTGTTTGGTCTGTGATTCTTTCTCTAGAGTAGTTTTTGGTTTCTCTTGCCTCTGGTTGTTTGGTTCGGGAGCTTCATGCTCTCCTCTGGAGGTGGTGTTTCTATTCTTTTGGCCCCAGTATCATCATGTTCATTTGCAGCCAGCTCCTTCTCTTGTGACATAGAATGAGTCAGTGGACTTCAGGAGGGGTTCTTTTGGTCATTCATGCTTGGTTGGTTGACTACCATCATGCTACTGATTTTGCTTTGATGGATGCCATGTGGACTGATCCTGTTTCCTTGGTCCCCTGTTCTAAGGCATGTGTTTCTCATGTCATCTGCTGTGTTATTCAGTCTAGGTAGCCTGCGGTCTACACTCGTGCCCATGATGTTAAGAAGTATGCTGCTCTTTCTGCTGTTTTTTGTAGACATGTTTTTGGCAGATATATCAGGTGCGGGGGTCACACAGGGTTCTGGTGGCCCAGTATTTGGTGACTCTTGGGCTTTGGTACCCTTGTGTGGCCTTAGGTCTTGTGTGGTCTCTCATCCTGGGGATCTCTTTTTCGTCCAGATTTCAGGTGTTCTCCCTCCTCCCTGGTAAGTTCCCATGTGTAATGGGAGAAGTACCCTTCTCCATGGGTCTTTGAGGGAGCCTCAAAGGGTTTCCCCCTAGAAAACCAGTGTTGAATATAATGAAATGCCAATTTCTGGATGAGATCCTGTGGCTGCTAGATCCTCTCCCTCCCAGGATGTTAGGTGGTTGTCTACATCTGCTCTAGAACTAACAGTGCAGACCCTGGCAGGTGGTGAGCTACTCCCTTCTCCCCCAAAACAAGTAGGGGAAGTGGGGCGAATGAACTTTTCCTAGTTCCTAGAGAATTTGATCCTTTGATTTCATAGTTAGGGGAGTTTTTTAGGTTGGTTTTGAGGCTTTAGTATTTTTTTATAATTCCGTAGCACCGTAGTTTGTTTTAACTCACTGACTTTATGGTTGCCTTCCAGTAAAGTGGGGAATAAAGTCATCACTTCCTATGCCTCTGTGAGGGGGGTTAGGTTCTGGCCCAGGTCTCCAGTAAGACTATAGAACTCCATGGCTAATGCTACGCATTAGATGGTATCATCTCAGCATATAGCTTCAGGGAGTCATTGGGACTCACCCAGAAATTAACATTTCATTACATTCAACACTGACTTTGATTCATTCATGAAAATTTATTTATTATTTTTATATGTTATACAGTATAATTTTGATAATTTTAATTGTTAAAGTTTGAAGTCACTTTATTTGATTAGTTCTATATGGGTAAATGTAATTCTGTACTGTATAGTGTATTAATTAAGTGATCAATTTATTTTCAGAAAATCGTGTAGTTCCTGATAACAAGCGGCCAACAGGTACTGTGGGATTAGGTTTTATGTTCAATAAAGATTTTTATTGTAAGGCAACTTTAAGCTTAACTTCTAGAAGCACAACCTGTGTATAAACTAAGTCAATGTAGAAGTATTTTGTTATTTTAATTTTTATCCTGATCAACTATTTTTAGTTCCCAGTATTGCTACTACATAATTTGTCATTGAGAGTGGTGATGCATCAGGTCTCCCATTGTCTGTAGTGTGACTGAACTGGTGGCAGTGTGATCCCAGCTCGTTTCATTACTATGTGTAATATTATAGCCTCTAATAAGAATTTCTCAAAAGAAATTGTTGTTCATTGATGATTGAAAAAGTTTAAGTGTTGCAAGATGCAAACATATGTTCCCTTGCAATAATGTCTGCACAGTTTAACCATCAAACCGCGCATATCATATATAAATGATATCAGTGACAAAACCGAAACCGCGCACATCATTTATATATGATTTCGTGTCTAGCACTATAATTTAAACGCCCCGCCTGGGATAGGGGCAGCTATAGTACAGCCACGACCGATAGTTGCCAGATGCCACCTAGAAAAAAATCCAGGCCAACATTCTTGGGTGTTTCAGCGTCAGTATTGAGCAAGCCACCAAGGCTGGCGCACGCAGCACGAGCTCACAGCACCGCTGTTCAGCTTGTGACCACAGCATCGCCTACAAATACCATAATATAAATGATACTGCTATTATTTAGCAGTGATAGTATTACTGAAGCCCCCTGACTGTGATAAAACTGACCAGGATTCTGATAATAGCACGATTGTGGTGATATTTAGCGCTGTGCTCCATGGAGGGAGGAGTAAGGCTGTGGAGGGAGGGTTGTGGCGATATTTAGCGCTGTGCTCCATGGAGGGAGGAGTAAGGCTGTGGAGGGAGGGTTGTGGCGTCGTCTTCTGACTGTGTGTGGCCACCATTTATTGACTGCACTCACCATACCAGCTTAGTGGTTCGCCATGGTGAACACAAATGTAGATACTTATATATAACGTGTGTATAGTGTGAGATAACAGCGAGAGGAGTAGGTTGGGAGCCGCCATTTTGGTGAGGGAGGAGCGTTGTCTGCACGACTTGGCATGGTGTTTATTGATGGCCACTATGGTCTTTGGGCACCATACCAGCTTATTTGTTCAGGTATAGTGAATAAAACAGGTAGATACTTATATATAATGTGTGTATATAGCGTAATAACACCACAAACAATATTGTTGGAGGACAAATATTAGTGCGTCTGGCCTTGAGGGAGGCCGCCGATCAGCTGACTGTGTGAGTAGCTACGTCTTATGGCCTTCACTCACCATACAAGCTTAGATGTACAGTTATGGTGAACAAAACATGTAAATACGTATATATAACGTCTGTGTATAGTGAATAAATACAAAAGAGTATTGTGGGAGGTGAATGAGGGTGAGTGAGGTGGTGTTGAGGGAGGGAGTGGCAGTGAGTGGCTCGCTGGTGTTTGGTGTTTCACTCCTCGTTGCTTTTTGACTCACAAGACCAACTTAGTAGTTTGTTATGGTGTACAAAACATGCAAATACTTATATATAACCTGTGTATATAGTGTAACAACAGCAAAACTATTTGTTTATTGTTTCATGAACATAATAATTGAATCACTAATATGCACACCATAATTTTGAGTACAGCGATGGTTCACACATTTTATAATATAAATATACCACAATTCACTGTATGGAATAATATTACTGCAAAAACACTAAGAAAAAATCAATCAGAGACATTGAAATAATTAGGTAATAATATATTTGTGGCAACTGCCGTCTGACAGCTCGGGCGGAGTAGACCTCGTCTGGCGAAGGCTCTGCCAACGCCCCTTTTTTGCCACACTTCCCTACCCTATTGTGGCTAAAATATGCCACCTACGATTTTTTTGTTATTTTTTTCCGTGATCAGGGAACAAAAATGAACACTTCTATAAGACGAAAGAATTTTTTGGAATTTTTTTTTTTGTTGCGCCTGTGGGTGTGAATTCCATTTGGGCCCCTAGCGGTTTGAGGGTTAAATTTGAAAGGCAAATTATAAAACTGTGCTAGGAAGCTAAGTATTGAGTGCACAAGACCACAATTTATGATGTAAAGTAATACTGTAGTGTGAACTGAAAGTGAGTGTAATAAACTTACTGCAAAGTGGAGAAGGATGTTGAGTACTAGGTTGTGTGATGATAATGTTCTTTTTGAGTGGCACTACGTCTTGTAATGATGATAATATTTTTTATGAAGGGTGCTAGGTCTTGTAATTATTTAAGAGTAGCTACAGGACGAGAGCTACCCTTTGGGTGTTCCATTTTTCCCTGTACTGTACGCTTTGTCATATGATGCCTTGAATCTTTTGACGGTTTTGGCACCCACCACCTTCTCACTTAACTTGTTCCAACCGTCAACCACTCTGTTTGCGAAAGTGAATTTTCTTATAGTTCTTTGGTAGCTTTGTTTAGTTAGCATAAATCTATGACCTCTTGTTCTTGAAAGTTCCAGGTCTCAGGAATTCTTCCTTATCAATTATGCTGATTCCGATTACTATTTTGTATGTTGTGATAATATCGCCTCATTTTCTGTGGGGAGTCCTGTCGGCTCCCTGAAGCTATCTTGCTGATCACGTGCCATACTACTTGAGTGTCATCAGTCGCAGAGTTCTTTGTAAGCCTATTGAGGACCACAAGCCAGAACCTGGTCCCCTCAGAGAGGCGAAGGGAGAAATGGCCCATGAACACTCTTTAAATTTAAAGTATGTCATCTTGCTATAGACTAGAGAAGGCATCCAGAAAGGTAGGCGAATCAAAACAGACTTTTGCCTCATTGAAAAGTGCAACCACAAAAGTGCAAGCACAAAAGAACTCCCCTCAGAAAGCAAATAAACAAGCAAAGCATCGTCCAATTACCCCACCGCTCGTTAGCTCCACCATCCAGTTCTTTGACTGATGTAGTCGTGCCGTGTGGTTGCTGTCGCTCTGGCTCTGTGTTCCCATTTTCTTTGATGTTTCGCTCTTGCGGCAGTTTTATAAAATGGATGTGTGTGCGTGTTGCCAAGAGTTTCGAGTACTGGAGTAGTATGAGCTTAGGGGCCATCTTCCCTTGGTGCTCCATAAGTACTGTCCTTGCATCTCAGAGTTATCTTCCCTGGGGCATTTAGGGATGACTTCCTGTATGAGGATTTACATGCTTTTGGTTGTCTTTGCCTTTGGGGTGCGTCGGGGACCTTGAGGCTTTCCCTGTTGCCCTGGATGGGGGTGTATTTGTTGGCTGATGGGGCGCACTACGGCTGGTGCAGCTTCCTTTTCAACTATTGACGGTGGACCAGTGTTTGCTGTGGACCTCTCTTGACTGCTTGTTTGCTGTAGTGGAGTTTCGGGGTTTTTATTGTGCTTTAACTTTTTTACAAAGTTTTACACTTTTTTTGGCAAAGGAGTTCTGCTTTTCACTTGATGAGGCTGTGCCTAGGGTGCGGTGGTGGTGCTGTTGCCCCAAGGCTTTTCTCAGGCTGCTTGCAGATGGATTGCCTGCACTGACAGGATTTACTGGCTTAGCTGACCCCAGTGCCTAGGCTTCCTGTAGGGCTCAGTCACCCTACAGGCCCTGGAAAACCCCAGTGGGCTTGATTGTACAATGCTCCCTCTTCCGAATCTGCTCTTGCCTTGTGGTAATTCATAGGTTGCTCGTCGCCCATGCCTCTGGGCGACGATCATCCATTCTGCGTCCGTCTTGCTGCCTGTTGGGCCGGGTGACACAAGTCCTTTAGGACTTGTTTCCTGCTTGTGCTTCATTTCACTCATCCCCATCTGATATTCTGTGGGATCTGTCAGCGTTGCATTCCATAGTCTGTGATGCAACGTGATAGGTTCTGCACCTGCTTGGAAGCCCCGGAACTGCCCTGCTTGGGTTTTATTGCTTCAGTCCATGCCCCCTCTTCCTTCCCTGGAGGATGTGTTCACCTTTTTTCCTTCTCCCTTCCCTCCTGCTGTTGGCTTCTGAATGTCTGTGGGTTTCGGTGTCGGGCTGGGGCTTAGATGTGGGTGAGGCTTGGGTGACTTCGGGGGGGGCTGCCCCCTTCCGATATGGGTAATTACCTAATTGTAATTACCTAAGTGTAGTTACAGGATGAGAGCTACGCTCATGATGTCCCGTCTTCCCAGTACTCTTTGTCATATAATGCTTTGAAATTACTGACGGTTTTGGCCTCCACCACCTTCTCACCTAACTTGTTCTAACCATCTCCCACTCTGTTTGCGAAAGGGAATTTTCTTATATTTCTTCGGCAGCTTTGTTAAGTTAGTCTAAATCTATGACTTCTTGATTCTTGAAATTCCAGGTCTCAGGTATTCTTCCCTATCAATTTTATCGAGTCCCGTTTATGGTCACCAGTTTTGTGTTGATGGCCATGTTCTGGGTTGATCCAGTTTCCCTGGTTCCCTGTTACATGGCTCATGTGTCTCAAGTTGTCCACAATGTTGTTATAGTCTAGCCATCCTATAATCTACCCTTATGCCTGTAATGTTAAGGAGTATGCTGCTCTTTCGATTGTCTTTGGATGGTTTTCGGGCATGGGGGTTTTGGAAGTTTGGTCACGGTCCTGAACACCAGGTCTCTCAAGACCATCCGGGCCCCTCTGTTTCTTTGTGTTGCTTAGGGGCTTCTGTAGTGGACGGTTATTTTTGTCGGATTGCGATCTGTGGGGTTGCCACCTCCTGGGTGCTTCTCTGTGGGTAATTAACTTCAGGAAGCCGATGGAGCTCCCCACAGAAAACCAGCGTTGAATGTAATGAAACGCCAGTTTCTGGGTGAGCCCCAGAGGCTTCCTGACACCCTCCCTCCCTCCCCCCATTTGGTGGTTTTCATCATTCAAAGAACCAAATGGTGGTGGCATGACTTACCCAGTTCGGCTGGGTAAAGTGAAAATAACGAGCGGTGAATTAATTGGACGAAGTTTTGCTTGTTTGTTTGTTTTTGCTTTCTGGGGAAGTTCTT